GAATTCTTTTTGCATGTTTATTATCCAGTGACATTTAGGAGGTCAGCCTGCTAATTCAGTTATGGCCTCTGTCTTGCTACTTTTAAAGTAAAGGAAAATGGGATGTGACCCAGGTTGCATATAACTACAAATAACAACAGCTCACACGCTCATACATGGTCTCGTTAGAAGCACAGAGGGGTGAAGCAGACCCAGGCACTCTGAGTGGAAAGGCAGGGAGGCTGAGCAGCAACACAGGGACTTCCCTGTCCTGCTATTTTGTGCCCTGTTCATCTATCAAAGACTAATGAGCTGCATGGGCTGCTCCTCCTGCGAGCCTGCAGAGTCATTCCAGTTCTGACAAAACCAGGAGAGCCCTCACCCAAAGTTAATTCAAACTCAACCACAGCCCCTCCGACAGCCCAGCTCGTACCCCAGAGAAAAGAGTGTGTGTTTGCTTTCCTGTCTCCAGGCTGCAGAAGCATACCTTTTGCTTCCCAGTGCTCAATGGAGGTAACTCTCTCCCATGTGGTCTCCTGCCTCAAGGCAGCCTGCCACAGCCTGACCCTGGGCATGTACTGCTCCTAGGAGCATCACAGGAGCTGTGCACGCACAGAGACTGCAAAACTACGACCTGGTGCTTTGTTATCTCAGGCTGTGTAGCCCACAAGCAGACATGCTTCTGCCTCAGACATGAAAGGCTTGGTGGGGGGAGAAGGGAACAGGCGTGAAGTGAAGACTTATGTTCTTCCTTGTTGTGTGCACTTCATCTCTGCATAACACACAAGCCTGTGTCCTTCCTAGAGCACTCTAAGCATAATGAAGCACAGTTTCTTGTTTCACACTCCCATCCTTGTTTATTTTATTTAAAGGTTTCACTTCAGAGCTTTGAGGCTAGAGATCAAACAAACAAGAGGGAATTTGGAAGCTGCAATGTCTCATCTAGATTCTGCTCAGAACTTAAAAACTGCCCCCAAGCCAATACACAGTGCCCATTTTGGAGACAGTCTGGTATTATCTAACACAGGCAATCTGCCTCTCCAAAGGTCAGCACAAAGATCCTTGTTTATTACTTCACCTACTAGGTGACAAAGTTAAGTCTCATAACCAAGGCTGGACTTGAATTTAAGAGAGCTGAAACTAAATTTTGGGATTTAATTTCACAGCTGCCGCACACTCAACAAAGCTGGGCACTGCTCTTACTGCCATTTGTCCATCTCATCCATCCCAGACCTCCTGGGACAGAGACACTGTAAGTCTTGCTCATTGATGCTCCTACACCCCTACTTACCCAATACAAACCAGGACCACTTCCAAACACAGTAACAGTACATGCAGTCTTTCATTTGCTAACCCCAATTTTCTTCTAAAGCAAAAGATTCTAGTTGTGTGTAAATATTTAAAATGAAAGCCAGGAAAAGACTATTTTCCTTTAGAACCAAATGGACAAGGGCTCCTTCAATGACACCATTAAACCCAACGATCTTAACAGTAGATCTTTGCCTCCCTGCAGCCTAAGTGACACATTCTCAGTTTCCAAGTCAGTGTACCTCACCAGCAGACAGCAGGAATCAATGCGACTCTCCTGAGACCACAGCACTGAGGTTTAAACACTGCAGATAAAATTCTGTATAATTAGCCAGCATTTCTGGCACAGTGGGCAATTTTTCCATTACACTGGATCCATTCCTGTACATGCTATAATGTTGATCACAAATTTATACTAACCACAATTTCAGATGACTTCTCCAAAACTATGGATTTCGATTTTACCTGGCTTGTCAGATTTAACTCTGTGCTTTTACAGAATCTCAGTAACAAACACAGTTATTTCAGTAAGTCCATGATTCAGTTCAACCTGGAGATGGAAAGAATAATGTTTTTCCAAGGTGCATGGCTGGGACTCCAACAGAAGTCAACAAGAGAATTGTGGGCATGTTCAGAAGCACCATTTAATCTACAAACACATTTACTGGACTGCAAACATGGAGAGGCCCTAACCTATTGCACTGGACATATTGGGAAGATTTCTATTGCAAGGAAAGTAGGATTAGAACCCAACTCATGCAGGACACTATGGCTGTGCCATGCTACCATCCTTTAGGCAGAGCTCTCCAGCATATAAATGAAGGTGTTAACCACTGACGGCAAATCCATTGTTTGAGCACATTTGTACTTTTATACAGAGGAAATACCCCCAGGTACAATGAAAAGACTTACAGAACTAAAGACTTGAGAGTAAATGTACTGGATGATTCAATCACTACATACAGATTTGGTGCAAGTACTTATCTGCATGTGTGTTGCAGAGCTCAAAATAGGGTAATGAAGCACATGTGTTATGCTACTATGTATATCCATAACTCATCCAGCAACACAGGTTTAGGTCCTGCAGTCTGCTACATTCATGTGAACAATGGTTTAGTTTGATTTGATGACTCTACTGTGTGGAAAACCAGCTATGACACTGCCTGGAGGGGGTGGACTCCAAACTCCGAAAGGCTTCTAGTTTCAGAGGTGAAAGAAGAGTTAAACCGAAGTATTCCCTATAAAGACACTGCATTATTAAAAATAAAAATTAAAAATAATTACTGTACCTAAAATAGCTCTGAAGAACACTACTTTAACATATAAATGGGAAACTCTGAAGCTCGAGAATGTAATTGTCTTTTAAGACATTCTGAAGCAAGTTTACTGCTTCCTACTGCTTATCAAACATGAGTGACAGCACTGCAGACCCCAGCTTCCCATTTTCTCACAAAACCAGGTGATGTCCCTGCAAGTCCTTCCATCAACTTCCATGTTAGTATTTATGTGTTCTATACCTGACTAAGTCAGTGCTGTGCACAACAGGAGTTCTCTGTCCTCTCCACTGACTTAAGCCTTTTGCTGGCATGGGACCTGTCCCAGTGTGGCACGGTTCACAGACAACACTGTGCACAGGAGGGATGGCACAGCAGGAAACTCTGATTTAGCCTGCTCCATAGCCCTCTTAGCATCAGTCTCCATCTGGAGACCCCCACAAAATATTTTTCAGCATTCCAGTACCTTTTCCACCGATTTAAGTCATTCCATTATCCCCACTGCTGGCCACAGTGCTCGTGATTTATTATCAGAATTTAATCCAGCCTAGAAATGATGCGGCAGTGCCATATCCCCAAACCACAGACATAGATAAAATCAGGACAGACTGAAGTTTAGATGATCTGGGCAGGAGGTCTTGCCCTAACAGCCATATGTGACAGGCTGCCCTGGCGCACACATTCACACCCATCTGTTGAGATGGAACAGAGCCCACTGCACTTCCACCACCCTGGTTTTAGTTCATGGGCATGACATCAGCTCTGGTTCGGTCAGCAGGGTGCAGAGCTGTGAATCCTCAACCTAACTTACTGTCAGCATGGAAAGCATTGCAAGAATTCTCACTAGGGTGTGTGTGGAAGGAGGAAACATGGAAACAACGACCAACCCCAGGCTTCTACAAGGAAAGAAGATCTACCCAACAGGAAAACAGCAGATCATGAGCATTACAGCGTCCAGTTTAATTTCTTGAGGCTAGTGAATTCAACAAACTGAACGTTTTTATATGGCCACAGGCACCTGCAGTTAAACCTCACGAATTATCACTTTGTCTTCCACAAGACACCAATGAACAGCCAGCTTGAGTAAACCCGAGTTTTCACACGTTTATTTCCACATGAGAAAGAAACTAAATTATTCAGAAATAGCTAAAGGTAGTGGCCAGATAAAACCCAGCACTTGTGCAGCAGCCATAGGTCACAGTGATCCATCGACACCTGATTCCCATCACTATGAGCCCTGTGAGTGTGAAGAGGTATCAGGAAGAAAGAAGTGTGAACACTCCAAGTGAGGATTATGAATCTGCGGAGGGGAGCTCAGGGCCTTCCCTGCACAGCCACTGGCATAAAATTGTTTCCCTTCTCCCTCAGGCAGCTTGGCAGGGACCTCTGCTCAACATGAGCCAAGGGACAGCAGCTGAGCGGGGAGCTGAAGCCCAGCCGGAGCAGCACCACAGCTCTGCAGTGTGGCACACCTTCGCAGTGCAGATTTAAGACTGTATTCTCTGAGCCAGACTTTGTCATAAGGTAAAGGAAGGTTTACCACAGCCTTCTCTAGCTAGCTGTAACACGGTAACGTGGAGATAACAACTTAACACAGCATTAACCGACAGACAATCAGCATTAATGCAACTTTTACATTTGCAAACCATTACAGAGCACAGAATCTTCAAAGCTTACCCTGCCAGTAATGCAAAGGTGGATGGAGCTCACTACACAGCGTTTAGCACTTGCCATCCACACCTGTCCTTGATGCATGGCCCAGGCCTGCTGAGGCTCATCAGCGGGTTTCAGTCCCCTGCACATCAGCCCGGGCTTTTCTCTCGCCTGAGGCTGCGGCTCATGTTCAAATAACATCCAAAAAGCTGTGTGTGAGTTGTGAAAGTGGGGCCTCCACCCCACAGCACCCACAGAGAGGACTCAGCACCCACCCACCCCCCCCCCCCCCGACACCCTCCTGCCCAGCTGGTGAGGCAGGGCTGAGCTTTCGGGTGAAGGAAGGACATTTACTTAGTTGTTCAGCTTTAGAATCACAGTGATAGTGCCACCTGCGACCGAGAGGGTTGTGTAAAGGAAGGACATTTACTTAGTTGTTCAGCTTTAGAGTCACAGTGATAGTGCCACCTGCGACCGAGAGGGTTGTGGTGCTCAGCCCTAAGCTGAGTGGTGGGCCATGGAGATGCTGTGAGGCCGCGAGCATCACTGCTCTACAGACAGAGCTGGGCTGGTTCAGCCCGGAGAAGAGAAGGCTCCTCAAGGGGAGCCCTTAGAGCAGCTCCAGTGCCCACAGAAGTGGTAAATGCCCCATCCCTGGCAGAGTTCAAGGCCCGGCTGGACGGGTCTTGCCGCACCCTGCTCCGGTGGAAGAGGTCCCTGCCTGTGGATGAGCTTTAAGGTCCCGTCCCACCGGAACCGCCCCACGGTGCCCCGCGCGTCCCCTACCTGACCCGTGCTGCTGGCGGAGGATCGCGGCCTGTCCGGGGGCCGGCGAGGCCGAGGTGGCAGCTGCGGCGGCCGGGGCGGTGGCAGAAGCGGCGCCATCCCGTGGGGCCGGGCGCTTGCCGGGCCCTGGCGGCGGCGGCGTGGGGCGGTCGTTGGGGCCGTGCCGCCGCGGGGCCGCCCCGCTCTGGATGTGCGAGACGGCCTCCGCCGCCTGCACGTCGGGCGGCGCGAAGCGGGACAGGACGCGCAGCAGCGCCTGGGCCCGGTGCTCCCGCGTCTCGTCGTCGCTGTAGTCCGCCACGCGGCACTGGTAGACGCCCTCGTCCTGCCGCCGCACGCCCGACAGCCGCAGCCGGTGCGAGATGTCGTTGCCCTGGACGCGGACGGTCTGTAAAAGAGAGCGCGGCTCAGCCCTGCCCCTCCCCGCGGCCACCCCGCTGGCCCCGCAGCGATCGCTCTTGCCCCACGGACGAGTCTTCCGCGGTCAGGAACCCCGAGCCTGGGCTGAGCGCACCGGACTGAGCGCACCGGACGCTCCCGCCCAGCACCTCGCTGCTGCAGCCCCGTCCAGAACCAGCCCCTGCTCCCTCCTCCTCGCCCAGTCCCGCACCGAGTCCCGCAGAGCCCCCAAAAGCCGGGCGGGCTCCAACCCCCCCCCCCCCCCCCCCCTCAACCGCTGTGCAGGCCATGCCCCACCGCAGCTGCACCCATGTCCTGCAGGATCGGGAGCGAAGGCGCCGGAGGTTTGCAGAGGACAGGGACAAAAAGCAAACTTCTCCCCTGATCCACCCCACTGTCTCTTCCAAGCGTGGCTAAGCTCGGGCTGCAAGGCAAGCATCACCTCCCGGTTTGTGAGGAATGAGACCTGACTGCGAAAGCAGCAGCGGATTGAGAACGAGAGAAAAACCGTGCCCTAGGAGCGGGGCTGCCGCGAGCCCGGCGGCACCCGTGTGTCGGGGCAGGAGGGGCCCGCAGGAACCCCACGCGCGGGAGGAGGAGGGTGCACCGCCCCGCTTAGAGCTGCACTTACACTGATTTTGGTCGCATCCTTACTTGTCACCTAAAGGGACAGAAAAAAAGGGTGATGAGACTTAGCTCTGCCAGCACATCAAGATGCTCATATTCCCAGCCCAGTTTAAGGACAGGACGTGGACTCTGCTCACCATAAACACAACCCGTGTGTGGCTGTGGAGCTCCCTAGGTGATGGGAAGGCACCAAACCGGTGCTCAGCCTGGGGGACAGTCCTGGTAAAGTGCCTGCAGCACCCACGGAAGTGTTGCCTTCACCAAGGGTGAGAACAGCAGCCAGGGGAACGCTTGTTGCACGCTGTGCTGCTCCCATTGCTGACAAACACCGGGGGAGACACTTTAGCAGCAGTGTTAGCCCAGCAGTGCAGAGCTCGGGCAAGCAGGATCCCACACTGCTCAGGGAGAGTTTCAGTCCTGAAACACCCTGGGAGCTCTTATCACTCTCTGCATGTTACTGCCAGATCACCTAATACTTGGGTATTTTTTATCTCCAGCCAACTACTGTAAACCCAAGCGATGCCTGGGATCCCGGCGATGCACCTCCCAGCAAGATGCCATTATTCTCCAGGCATGCCCTGCCATCGTTTATTGTGAAAGAAACTCAGGGGTTTTATATAAGGTTAAAGAAGACATTTAAATCCAAGCGATTTACTTCCCTGTCTGACAACTGACTTACACTTTCCTCAGCTAGGCGGCATCGCGTGAGCTCAGCATCTCTGCTTTGCATCTCTATTTGAGCTCTGCAGGAAAACAAGCCACAGAGAGGGGAGCTGGCAGGGGGGCTGCGCAGGGATGGAGATGACATGGCCTGAGCAGGGGGTGGCAGGGCTTCAAGTCCTACTTCACCCCACCCCTTGTACAGCCCCGTTTTGCACAACAAGGCGTCTTGAACTGGGGGAGCTGCAGAATGGACGGGCTTATGCTGGGGAAATGCAGCTGAAGAATTTAGACTAGAGCCTACCCTCAAGCCAGGCGGCTTGCTAGGGGGAGGGGAAAGGGAATGCAGGATTTAACTGCGCTTCATGCATTTTAATTGCCACATCTGACTGTCTCAAAATGTCTTGCTGAGCTCCAGATATAGAGAGTGTGCAGGCACCCCAAGAAACTGTGCGTTTGTCTATGCAGATTGATATGTACTTAACATGCCAACAGGAAAGGATCATCCCTCATGCTTCCCTCTGCTCTATCAAGGAGCAAACACAGGCTCTCCCACCTTTCACAAGCTTAGTCCACAAAAGCACAGGATTTTCCTTATCCCCACTTCATGCTCATCTATTTTTGACTGCCTCTCACGGGTCCTCACTGCTGATCTTGCAGCAGGACATTTATAATTTTCTATTTACAATGCTTAAAGCACTGATGCAGTTTCCTGAAATGAAGCTGCCCTTGGTGCATACCCTGTCCTCCTCCATCCCATGGAATGCCAGGGATCCCGGTGCCTCCACCTGCTTTCTGGCACTGGGCAGGGAAGTGCTCTGATCTCTGGGACTGCAGAGTTCATCTGCTCACCCTCCGACCACGCTGCACGCGATGGAGAGAGATCTCCATAGCACTGCATTACCTTGCTCCTGCTGCCAGGGACACTGATGGCTAATTCGTGTGCAAGTTCTCTGGCTGGTTCTTTAAGGTACCACCACTGGATTTCCAAGGAGTAAGAAGTGGATCCGCTGGCTCGGAAAGCACAAGGCATCTCAATATCATCTCCCTCCCTAACCGTCACATCTTTGGGAACTTCGGTAAAGGTAGCTGGGAGGGGAAGAGAGTTACAAGGGCTAGTTAACGGGAGGGATTAAGAGGCAAATCAGTCCCTTCCAGGGCAACGCAAGCTGCTCCAGCTCAGGGCTGGCTGCCCACCGACACACGTCTTTCCCGTAGTTTGGCGACCGCAGGATAAGCGCACTGGGGCCAGCGCCGGGCCGGCCCCCGCCACCCTGCCCCCTGCGGCGGAAAGGGGACGTTTGAAGAAGCCCTTGAGCCCCTCGTCCTGCCGGGAGAGCCCTCGGCTGGTGCGGGGACACCCGGGTCCCGCCGCCCGCTCCCCAGATCCGGCGCGGGGACGGCCCCGCGCTGCCGGCAGCTGCGGCCGCAACAGAGACACCTTGTTCTGCGCGCCCTGCCCCCTCCCGCGGGGACGGGCCTGCGGCGGCTGCCGGCACCGGAGCCCCGATGGCTCCCCGAGCCCCGACGGTCCCCGCTACCGAGCGGCGCCCGGAGCGGCGGCTCCCCGCGGGAAGAGGCAGAAGTCGCGGACTCACCGGTGACGAGGAGCAGCAGCGGCGCGCCGAGCAGCAGGCAGCGGAGGGTGCCCCGGAGCCCCCGATTGCCCATCGCACCTGCGTGTGCTGCGGGCGCGGCCGGGCTCAATCCATCGCACAGCGCCTGGGCTCCTTCCCGGAAAGCCGCCCGACCGGCCCCGGGTTGCGGGGAAGCGAACGTAAAATCCACAGCGGCCGCTCGGGCTCACTCGCGGCGTTCCCGGGAAGGCAGCGACAAACCCGTCCCGTTCCCCGCTCCGCCGCCGCGGGGTTCAGCTGCCCCGCGCCGCGCGGGCGCTCCCGCTGCCCACAGGCGGGCAGGCGAAGCCGGGCTGTGCCCCGGCACCCATCGCGCTGCGGGGCGGCGCTCGGCGCTCGCGGGGAACCGGCTCCGGACCGTGACCACGCTCCGCTCCCGGCGCGGGCACCTCCCGAGCGGCGGCAGGGACCGCCCCGAGCCCCGCCTCCGTCGCGAGTCGCCGCCCGCTCCCCCCGCACCCCCGGGGGGCCCCGGGCCCGCTCCGCAGCTGCCCCGCGCGGGCAGGACCCGGGAGCGTCGTGGTTAAAAGCCGGAGGCGCTCCCAGGCACCGGCGGGAGCTGCAGCCGCGGCGCTCGGCGTCTGCGCTGCCGTGAGCCTGGGGCCGCCCTGAGCGCTTCGCCTGTTCGCGCTGAAACGCCGCCAAACGTCACCGTGCGGTGCAGGCTCAGCTCCGAAAGTCCCCGCGCCCCGGGCGGTGCGGGTTCTGGCCTGCAGAAAGCTTCCTCTGTGCTTTCAGTGGTTCCGCTCTGCACCAGGGTGCAAAGCTGGGGACGCGAAGGTCTGCAGGGAGCGCATTACTTGGAAAATTTCTCTTCCCAAGTAGCTCAGTAGGACCCGCTTTCAGATGGGTGCTCACCCACATTCCCAGCTACCCCCTGCCCGGTGGGGAGACGCCTGGAGGCTTTGGCAGCTCCCACCAGGAAAACCGCGGCACGGCTTCCGCCCGGGAGTTTCAGGAAAATCTGTGTGGTTCTGAACAGTGCTGAAACTGCACCAAATCAGTTTTCCCGTTGGAATTTTTTTTTCTTCAGAGCATTTTCAGCTGCTCCTACTGATGGTATCACGGTTTTAAACTGAATTTTAAAACTGATGGTATCATGGTTTTAAACTGAGAGGGTAGTTTTAGATCGAGGTGAGCTCTTAGGCAGGAGCTCTTCCCTGTGAGGGTGCTGAGGCGCTGGCACAGGGTGCCCAGAGAAGCTGTGGCTGCCCCATCCCTGGCAGTGTCCAAGGCCAGGTTGGACACAGGGGCTTGGAGCAAGCTGCTCCAGTGGAAGGGGTCCCTGCCCGTGGCAGGGTTGGAGCTGGAGGAGCTTTAAGGTCCCTTCCAGCCCAACCCACTTTGGAATTCTCTGGTTCTGTGATTTAAATCCTGTGACAGGCCTCTGGCAGGTCCGTGACAACGCCTGGCCTTTCTCCAGTCTTTACTGGGAGCCTGCAGGGCCCAGCTCACGGGGTAGCTGCAGCAACCCCACCAATCATAAAAGTCTTTATTGTAATAACTATTCAATCAAATAGCCTAATAATCACTTAGACTTTGCTTTTCCACCCGAAATCTCACACAGTAAGCAACACCTTAACTCCTTTCCAACCTTAATTATTCTATGATTCTACGGTCAGTGTTTCTTTTCAGACATGGCCTCAAGTCCCCTAGGGCTGCAGTCAGTTCTATGAGCGCTTGCCAGAGTCCCCGTGTTGTGCTTCTCCTTCTAGGCCCCACACAGACAGGGAAAGATGTCCTGGGGGGTAGCTGTGGGGTGCCTGGGGGTAGCTGGGGTAGGTCCAGCAGCACAAGATTTCCAGTCAACCTCAGGAACAGCTCCGCTGGGTCCCTGCTAGTGAGGCGAATCCAAGACTTGGTGCCCTCTGCAGCAGGATTGATTAGAAAACTCCAGATGGATAAAGAGAATCAAAACACAATCAATTTTTATATCAAATTACTAGTGACATATCATATTTGAAAAACTGTTACTTAAGTTGTTATTAAAATTGATGTTTAAAAATTTCTTCTGAAATTGCTGCATTGTGAAAATTCATAAAGGCTGGGGATGTAAAAATAGACAGCTCATGTGAAGTCAGTTTTGTTTCCTAGATATAAAAAGTGAGTAATAAAAACGAGAAGGAAAGTCAAATGCATTTAAACTTAGTTCTGTTTTAATAAATCTAAGGTTGTTATTATAGTAATAGCGTTGCTGAAGTGAAGACAGTTTTATCTTGACTGCATCCCTCAATTTATAACATTAAACCTTCAGTTCTACTGTATTTACTGCCCACCAAATCTGATTTTATATGTAGCAGCTGAACACTGAAGCACTGACATCTCTGTGTTCAATTAAAGTAAGGCATTAGGAACACAAGAGTGTTTTCCACAGGCTGAAGTTAGACTAATAACAGACTCTTTTTATGTTCTTCTCTTCTACTAACACTGTAATGGGGGGCTATTGTGCTCTACATTGGCTGGCAAGTACTCTGTGCAAATCATTTTGCTCTTAGGATCATAACAACATTTAAGTCATTTATTGATTCAGTCCTGTCTGCAAAAGGGACTTCACAGTGCAGGAGCTGTCACTGCCTCCACAGGTGAGGAATGTTTGGAATACCACTGGGAGAAGCTCCCTTTGTAGTCACTGATATTGCAGCAATATCCACACCAGTATCACCCACACCAGCACCATCCACACCAGCACCATTCACACCAGCACCATCCACACATCACTCAGTGTGATCAGGGAGACTGTTTTGGTGCTTAAAGCAAAGACCGTGTTTTGGTGGTGACTGTATTTTGTACTGTAATTGCCCCAGATGTCACATTAAGCTGCATAGCAGGGGGTAACTATTTTACACCCAGGCAAACTGAAACTGGCTGTCTTTATGGAGAAATCCCATGCCATTTCCATAGCTTTCCGCTTCCAGATTTATGTGGAGAGTATTCTCTCTGCTGTAGGACAAGCCAAAATGCAAGAGCATTTGTTCTGGCAACAGGACTCTTCATCACTTTATCCACATGGCTTTGTCCCAAAGCCATGCCCAAGGAGATGGTGGCAGGAGGAAGCTCCTAAGTCCTCTTCCTTGCTCCTGAGCACCTTTCCAGGGAAGCCAGGAGGAGTCTGAAGGAGCCATTGGATGAAACCAGCAGAATTCGTCCTGAAGGGACAGTCACCTTTGTCATCAGTCCTGCTCTCATATTCCATTGTCAGCCCCAATCACCCTCTGATGTGAAGAGTGGGAGCATCACTGAGATCGGGGGGTGCCCACTGACAGGGGTGAGGGCCTGGAGCTCGCACGGGCACTGGGGCTGGCAGGACTAGGGGTGGCACAGTGCTGGTGCTGGTGCTACTCTGCACCGTGCTTTATGGCAACTCATGAAATCCCCGAAGTGATTCCAGCTCTGTGGAACTGATGACATTTAAGAACATTTCTCCCTGCACTTTTTTTAAATGACTGGTAACCCCTTTATTTGAATAACCAAAATTCTTTCTAATGGCTGCTTGAGGAGCCTTTAATTCATAGCCTGCTGCTTGGAGTTAATCCATTCAGAAATTAAACCAGCACAGGTCACCTTTGGAAAGGAGAAAGCTGCAAAACCACCCAATTTCACACACACAAAGTGTATGTGATGAGACATCTACCTTGAGCTGGTGTGAACATCCCGCAGCATGCTCCATGTGATGTGGTGTTCCTACTGTATTTTAGCAACCTTCACCTCTGCCCTAAATCCTCTGGCAGAAATAAGCCCTGTTCAACACTACTCTTAGATTTTTGTCAAGGTTTTTCTTCTTATGTTTCTCATTACCCTGACGTGTTTTCATAGTCAGAGTGGCCAGTTTTGCTCCTACTGATAAGAAGTAAATGCTTTTGCAAAGGACTCCTGTGAAGGTGGAGCTCACAAATCTAGAGAAAGCAAAAGAGAGAGACGCTAAATGTTCATATCTCTGCTTCCAGCACATTGACCTTCACTGTGGAGCTTCTGCCTCAGAGTAGCTCTTAAGAACAGGCTGGTAACTGCCAGCCAGGGTGCCTCTAAAATGTCACTGGTTTAACATCTATTCAAGAGGTATAATTGAGTTTTTCCTCCCTTCTCCCCACCTCCAATTTCTAATCCCAGCCAGCCCCAAACCACGCTCCCTTTGTGTTCCCTCAAGAAGGCTGTAAAAGGTCAGGAATGCTGCCAGTTGAGAACCCGAATTGTTCTCCATGTACACGGTGACTTCTATTTCCCCTCTGCAAGCAGGGGCTGTGCTACCTAGAAATTGTTCCTGGCTCCACGTGATGGGCAGAAGTCTGACACAGTGTTTGTGAAAGAAGTGTCTGGACTTACATTAGGAAATCCAGGTTCAAACAGTTGGACTATGCTAGCCTTTTGTTGCTGAGCCTTACTCTGGATAGGTGATACTGCTGCCAAAACACTTCATTTTACTTTCCATGACTCTGGCTAAGGTGCAAAGCTGGGCACAACTCTCACTTTATGCAGCAAATGCCTTTTTGATTGCCTTGGTTTGTATTTTATCTAGTTTGCTTATCCAGTACTCCCTGTTAAGCTATCTAACCGTATGAGACACTCGTACAAGAATGTAAGGAAGGAGAAGGCAACATGTATTCACAATAATGCAGCAATAGCTCATCTTCTAGCACACCATGCTTACAACAAAATCAAAAGCAGTCAGGAAATCAGATTACTTCACACTGTAAAATCTACCTGAATTTTAGGGCATAGAACTTGTTTTAACAACAGACACGATGCTGGCTGCCCAGCAGTTGGACAGAAGTGTAGGATGGCAAGAGAAGGTAACGTGCAAGTTGTCGTCTGACAATTGCTTGCCTCCAAGTGTTCCTACCTACATGCTGTTGTTACTCCTTCAGAGTAACATGTTTGCATTTAACTTACACCAGAATCTTTATAATCTATATTAGATTGCTATCTTGTAATATCTTATAACGTAAAGATAATTGTTAAAATAATATATTATAGATTATAAATGAACACATTCTGGGGAAAAAGTAATATAGACACTCTTTGAAAGAGATAAACACCTTGACAAAACTCTGAACACTTCCCATTTGGGTCTACCAAATAATTTTAACAATTGTTTCCCAACAATTCATCACCTTCTTAAGGCAGTGTAATTAATGGGGAATCAAAGCCAATATATTATCAATAAGACTTAAAAGGAATGCTAATAAAACTGTTACTGAATGAACATGTAGTCCAAGAGAGAACACCACTGAGTGGGGCGGCACTTTGTGTTTCCCACTGAGCTCCAGAACTGGTAATACCCCCACAGCAAACTAACATATACTGATGTTCAAGAACTCCCAGCACCTCAGATGGAAAACAATCCATGTAAGAAACCAACAGTCAGACAAGGTCTGCAGCAGCCTCTCAAACACTCAGGCCTCAAGTGCTTC